TGTGATCCTTTTTGCTAACTCTTTTATCAAAATTTATAAACTTCAGTTTTAATGGATAGTTTGAAAGAGCCGGAAATACTCGTAATGTACAATCTTAATCACAGACTTTCAACTCACAATTAATAGATCTTGTTTATTGAACATTTGTGTCTGTTATAAGTTACTATAATAGTATTTTATTGATGTGCAATTATACAATAACATACGACCTATATTGAGTATAAAACACAGGTGTAATTTTCTAGCCTTGACCCACAAGTTTCTTAACTTTAGTCTTTTTTTCTGTACACACCATGTACACGCGAAAATGAATATGCTCAATTGCCAGTAATGCGCCTCTTCGTGGCTCAGGGGTAAGCCAATAGGCTTATAATGTTAAAAATTTGGGTTTGATATTCATGGTGGGCACAGCAAACATAGCCCATTGTGTAGGTTTGCACTTTAAAAAAAAATAGAGGTCAATAATGAAACTTGTTCTCTAAATAAGTCATGCGTACAGTTTTCGGAATAGCCTTCAAGTCAGTCAATATAAACGAAAATGTCTCCCAGTGTCTCAGCGGTAAGTTAAAAGGCTTATAACGCTTAGAACCTGGTTTCGATACCCGTGGTAGGCACAACACAGATAGCCTATTATGTAGCTTTGCGATTAATAACAAACGAACAAAATTAACAAAAATAGATAAAGTTCTCGTATTACCGTTATTTCATTAATCCCATGACATTCACAACCTTCGATCGTAAATAGCATACGAAGGATCATCACGAAAATACTGCTTACGGCACCAGTTTTTGTCACTTCCAGAACATTCGACATTGACCGTTTGAGGTCACTGAAACATGATAGACATAAATGGCCCTTCATTCCAGCGGTTATTGAAACATCCCGGTTATAGTTCTTGTTTCAACGATTATTGAAACATCGGGGATATAGTCCTCATGCTAGTAGTTATTACAGCATTGCGGATATAGGCCTCATGGCACCGGTTATTACAACATCGTGGATATAGCCCTCATGGCACCGGTTATTACAACATCGTGGATATAGTCCTTATGCCAGTGGTTAATGAAACATCGTGGATGTAGACGTCTTGCCAGAGGTTAATGAAACATCGTGGATATAGCCCTCATGCCAGTGATTAATGATACATCGTGGATATAGCCTTCATGCCCCCCAGTTATTGAAACATCGTGGATATAGCCTTCATGCCCCCCAGTTATTGAAACATCGTGGATATAGCCCTCATGCCAGTGATTAATGATACATCGTGGATATAGCCTTCATGCCAGTGATTAATGAAACATTGTGGATATAGCCTTCATGCCAGTGGTTAATAAAACATTGTGGA